AAATCTTTAAACTCACCTTTTTAATAATTAACACAGAAGTTAAGAGTATTTCCCTATAATTAACACAGAAGTTAAGAGTATGTCCCTACAATGTAAGAAGTAGGATGGAAGTTATGGTGACATGAATGTGTACAGTTCCACATAGAAACTAACTACACAGGGGAGAAAACCAGAAGTCCTTAAACCCGTTGCCAGACATGCTCTCAAAGGATTACCGTGTACCAAGACTACATGTAGCAGTGCCACCTGGTGACCAATGCTATGACAAATTCCTCTTAAAATACTATATAGCACAGAGATTTATTGTATGAAATCATAGAATTTTTCTCCTTCTTTCATATGCATGTTAAAGCTTACTGTTCCAAAGCTCAGTATGTGAAGTACAAAACTAACATGGAAATTTCCACTTTATAAATATAGCAATATTCGTCATACAAACACTAACAGAGTATTTGGAAACTATGGCACCTACACATATTGAACAGAAAGGGTTCTCAAGTTAGGGCAGCTAGACTGTAATTAGCCATAGGAAGAAAATGCAGTACAGGGAAGAAGAAACCCAGAAACACTAAAATTAGCCTTCACAGAGAAGATCAGCAATCTCAGCTTCCTTACTTTCTCAATGACACAAAGTAATAAATAATTAATAAGACATATCCCAGCAACTCAGTTCAAATGGCAGGTCATTTCTCCACCTTCCCTCAGAAAAGCCTCAGAAACAAGAGTCAGGAAGTCTTCCAAAGCATCCAGGGCTGGGGATGAGGAACGCTCAGCATCATCCCTCTAACATGCGTGCTTGCTCATGCACTCAAGCACCAAGAGTGGCACTGGATGAGTATGTATGGACAGTGTTGTACGGTAGAAGCCAAAGTAAAGGAAACATTTGGCCAAAATTGCACAGTGACAAGGCAATCCAGTTGTTTACGAGGTGACTGAGCCTCAGGAAGGGAGGATGGTAGCAGCATACCATGCAAGCTCAGCCCAGGTCGAGGCAACTCATTATGTCATGTACTGACCTGCACAGATCCAACTTCCCCATCGAGTGAATGCCCAGTAAGCTAGGAGCCCAACCAACAGCACATAACATTTTACTAAATATCCGTCTGGGAAAGGAGCATTACCATGATCAACCACAGGGATCTGGATAGGATAGAGGCTGCTGAATTTTAAGTCCCTTCTCCTGTTGCAAAGGTTCTTCAGAAATGGGGCATTTTTTTCCTGCAGGTAGATTAAATGACTCGGGCACTTCTGTGTGTTATTTGCAAGGGCTAAACAGAATGCTGCATGCCTCTGCTGAGGAGTGGAAATTACCCTCTCATTATACCCACAGTTAAGAGGGTAATAAAACATTCAAATACGATAGGGAACAGGGCAAGCAGGAAGAAGAAACAACATTCTTCCTCTCCCTCAATTTATCATCTCTTTATCTTTGTTTTTAATTGGTCCAAGCTAATGTATCTTCAGGTGTTAAAATAGAGTGCAAAGGCTTGAAAACAGGAAGGTAAAAAAATAAAGGGGGATGGGCTCACAGTGCACAACAAGGTTACATACCTTTAAAAATGTGGTTAAAGGAAGGCAGTACAATTTTGTGGAAGCATTAACAGAGACATGCTTTTACTTTGGTCATGACTAGGCCAAAGTGTGCAGAAGCTAAATATATAAAACACTAGTGCACAGACATGACTACAGCCATTTGTGCACTCTTTCTGTGGGCCTTTCTCCATTTTTCTACCAAACAGCTTTCTGCAAGTAGGCTGATGTGTTTCAAACTAATGCAAAAAAAAAAAAAAAGTCATGGGATGAAGATGACAGACAGTCATTGCCAGGAGATTCCTTCATTATTCCCTCCCTTGCGTTTGTTTACTGTGTAAGACCCTTCCCCCCGCCCCCTTCCTTCCTCTTGCTCTATTCCAGGCAAATGTTGAAAAGAAAAATTGTTTACTTGTCTCCTAAATACAGTTAAGGAAAGAAAACCGCTTGAAAGCAATTTCCCGCAAAATTTCATTAATCTCATATGTCCTCTGTCTTTTCCTCATTCAATACATTTTTGACTAGCTGTAAGTAATTGATACAAATATTCCTTGCAGCCTGCAGTTCCCCCTCAGCTCCTTGGTACCCCATCACAGAGAAAGACTGCATATGTCTGAACTTCATCCTAATTGAATAAGGAAAGAAGTTTACTCATAGTCTACTCCTGAACTTTAACCATGATAGTATTTATGAGACAGACTTCCATGCAGTAGGCTTAAAAAAAAATACAGACCATCTTTATCTTTGTTACCTATATGTTTAATGACTGTTTGTGGACTTAAAAAAAATATTCATGTTATACAATTTCATATCAATCAACAAGTAGAATTAGGAACACGCAAGGACTTCTAATTCTCATTGAAAAGGTCTGGTTTCTGCACATATAAACAAACAATTTAACAGCTTGTTTAAACACGTTAATATTGCTGTCGTGCTAACTGTTAGGTTTTTAGGTTTGGGTTTTTTTTTTTAATAAAGTATTTAATTCTTCCATTACTCAGTACAGGAATTCCTACTGATAGCGATCAGGACAAACCTCAGAGGTTTGAGTCCATAGCCAACTTTTAATCACATCTCCTAGATGTCCATAAACACCTCTGGAAATTCTCAAGACAGTAAACTGGTATAGCACACACGTCCAGGCATCTTCCAGCCAGAGTTACAACATGCTGGAGTTCAGGGACATTTCAAAAATATTCATTAATATTTCTAGAATATTTGGCTGACAAAATGTAAGTTAGACTTTTCAAAGGCTGCCAACTTTCTCCTCTTGGTGATGGACCAAGCAAAAGTGGTAACGGAAAGTTTCCTCATTACTTTCGAGCACCTACTAAATTGTTGTTTCTAGAAGTTAAGACATGACTAATTAAATCTTCTTTTCCATCCAGTTCCCACGAAGGCACAAATATTTGCAGCTATATGAAGAACTTAAGTGCATTAGAACAAATGGGAATTATTTTTAAGGAGTCAGCTTTACTAAAAAAGTATTCTTTTCCTGGAACTATTGCATTGCTGTAAAGCAATTAATTCACTAGGCCAAAGCATGACAATGCTTTCCAGCCATAGCAGTCTTACACTCCAACTTCTGCAAATTTAAAAAAAAAAACAAAACCAAAACAAACCCAAACAAACCCAGCTGCTCACATCATTTTTCCACACACAGAGAGGATTTTTTGCACTATGTTCAGCCCCAAGCCCTTGCAGACAGACAAGGGAAAAGGCAAATGGGAAGTCTGTTGCTGAGACCATTTTGTGACATTCCATTGAGAGGGTCCCAGAAAAGAGCAATCTGCTCTCCCCAGCCACAAAGCAAACACCTCAGAATTCAGCAGCACAAAGCAGTACCATCCAGATCAACGGCCACAGCCCAAAACCCTTACCATCTCTTGTTAAAGCCAACACTGTTTCACTTATTTGGGCCTCTAAGCAACTCCAAGTACTGTTCTTATGCACCATGCAGAATGCCCCAATAGCGAGGGTGTGTCTCTATTGAAAGGATCGCAGTACGCAGCATGCGCAATGGGCTGCGGTTTACTTTCATGACACAAAAAAGCAGGCATAACCTCTACCAATGACTTTCCGCCAGCTTCTAAAAAAGTTAATAAAAAAAAGTAAGTGGGTTAGAAAGGTAGATGTTCTCACTTAAGGGGGGCTGAAATTACTTGAGAATCTGTCCCAGCAAAACTGGTTCTCAGTCTCTAGCATTCTGAAGTTGCAGCATAAACTTCAGTCCGCTTATCAGTATGAATTGTCTCTCTTCAGATTTACTTGCTATACTACACCACCATCACATCTTGAAATTGTTTTTATTACATCCCACTATATTTGCAGCTTGTGTTTTTTTTATGGAAAACTCAAGAAAACAAAACAAAAGAGCATGCAAGCACACTGGATTTATCACTCCCCCTTTGGAAATGCCCCCATTCTTCAGAATCAAAGTCAAAATTTTGCTGGTTAGGACATTCTCCGAGAGCGAGCGTGCGCAACACAGTCCAGTGGACTCCAGCCACACAATACAAGCAAAGAAATCTTGCTGGCTTTTAGTGTGGTCCTTTCTCTGATGTGCTTGGCTAACACTCCAGCCTGAATTTTCAAGTCTCCTCTTGACTTTTCTAGTTCAGAGTTTGGAGTGAGGCAACTACATCAATATTCTAATTTAATTAGAAAGCAGACTGCTGATCAAAACATCAGGCAGAGTGCCACATGTTAGAGTTGGATTAAATGCAAAGGCAAAAATACATTAAAATGCTTTTGAATTAAATTAACCTTTCTACCTTTATTTAAAATTGGCCTCTGGGCTTCATTTCAGAGAATAAGTTTTGGGTGTCCAGAAAAGTTTAATGCATTAACTCAGTTTTTATAAGCCTAGGTGGTGGGAAATAAGTATTTGAAATGAACAAGCTGTTAGGACAAGTACATTCTCCAGTTATTAAAAGAAGACTGGAAGTCAGATCTGCAAATACCTGCAACTAACTACTTGACATTGCTGTTCTTCAAGAATAACTGTACACTTGTTATGTGTAACTTCATATACTCCTTATACTTAATATTATTGTTGAGTCCAAGCACATCTCAATTTTACAGACAAAAGGGTTAACATGGGATTTACACCTCTCAGTATCCTCCCAGGCAACATTTTCAGGTGTCTTTCTGCATTCCAGGGTTAAGTGTGTAGTTTCTTACTCTTGGATATCAGAAAGCCTACAGTGATGCTTCTCCGTACACATCCCAATCTTTTGTCTACCAGGATGAACAAAGATGAACACACTTTCATAAACACTGCAGAGTTGGCTTCAAGTATTCGAAAGCGAAGAAATCTTCACAGCAATGCAAGGATGATGCTGACAAAGAGATGTCGAAAAGTCAAGGATACATACCTTGCTGAACAATGGCAGCTTATCCCTTGTGCAGAGCAGAAAGCTTACTTGATCTAAAGCTGTCCAAAATGTCAGTGTAAATAAAAGTTCTCTTCAAACTGTTTCAAGAACAGCCGCCATTTCCTTGAACTGTCTGAAGAAGTTCTAAAAAGTAGAAGTTAAGATAAATTTCAGTTCCTTGAAGAAAAGCTCGAACTGTAGTTCAAAGTAGCATGTTAGAGAAAAATCACAATCCACATTTCACATTCCCTCCTTCCTCCAGTTACAATTTGCAGCTTGAACTGAAAGTTTCTGCTTTTCTTTTTGTGGGCTGGTAGGCATTTGGGCACATTCACTATTAAATCTACACAGGTGATGCCTTATTTGCATGGGTTTGCCTATTAATAGGAGAAGACGCTATGAAAGAAAAATACAAAGTAGCTCTCACACCACAACAAAAAAAACCACCAAAAAACACCTTCTCAGGCAAATGTTTCTATTCCCAGCTGAAATAATCCAGGCTTCTCAAGTCTAGCATCCATTTCTTGTAGTTGAACAGCAAATTATTAAATAGGTTTCAACCAGAATGAATACAACATTTCACAACACCTAAGGATTCAGAATATCCTTCTCAAATTCCTGCCAGTCCAACTCCAAGGATTTATTTATTTGCAAGCTTGTACGATATTTTAAGTGATGTATTTGCCCTTTAAATGGGAATGAAAACAGAAGTGCCACTATCATGCAAAATTAAACAAAGTTACATAAGTTCATAGATGAAAGCATAGCAAGTAAGAGCCAGTGGTGACAAAGCAGACTGACCTCCGTTCCTAATCATTAGCAAATGTTAGGCTTAACTCAAGTTTTAGATTTTTGAGGCTGGGAAACAGTTCCATAGATTTAGAATATTCCATCTGTTTTTAATAAGGCAGAGTGACAGCTGACAAGAAGGATTGGAAAGTCTTTACATCTTCAGTTATTAGCTTATTTCTAAGACAACAGATTATTACTGCTAAATTAACATTTTCAAATAAGTGGTATAGAACTGCTATGAAATAAGTATTTAGCTTCAGTGTTTTAAATAATTATTTAATGCTTCATCTTTGAATGACTGTATTAGTAAATAAGCAACACAAACATATGCATCAAGGTGTACAGTTACTCCTTCACAATGATGTCACTGTTGTTTTTAAGAGACTGAATGAAGAACTACCGATTACAGACCTTGAACTGTGGGATCGTCATTTCAAAAGATTTGTCTGTTATTTGTCCCGAAGGGTCTGCCACTTTTAGCGTCACTGTAACATAAGGATACTTCAGAGACCTGCAGGTGTCAGAGCTCATTGCAACTCCCAGTTTCCATTTAACGTCTACAAACTACAAAGAAGAAAATAATGGAAACAGTGTTAAAGAAAGATCCAGCCTACCATTGCTGTTCTGTTGGATGGATGTTTTACAGACAATATAGGACATCTAGAGCTCATCTCCAAATGGGAAACAAATATACACGTTCAGATATTATTGTGAATACAAAATCATCTGCCCTTCCTTTTCATAGCGAAAAAATAAGCAATTTAATAAGTTAGGTACTTTACTGAATCTGTTTTCCTTATTCAAGCACTGTCAATAGTAAATTACTATAACTTTAAATAGATTGTACGAGGAGCTTGAGCCAGAGTTCACCTGGCTTGTATATCATTTGTACTTTTGTCATGTTTTTTTTTAGAAGTTTCTAAATCAAGTGGAAACATGAGAAAAACCTCAGACAGTGCACAAAAAATTTATAATAGCAGTAACGGAAAAAAATTGAGGCATTTCATAACTGTATTTTTGATAAATCAAAGTACATCATAAATACATTTCAGACAGGTAAGTTATCATTTTTAGCCTTTTACGATAGGCAGAACTCTTGAATAAAGAAGTGAAGAGAGCCTTTAGAAGCTTACTATCAAGCCTCGGACAAAGACTTTTTTTTTCTTAATTCTGTACTCTTTTAAACTGTTGTTAGAAAAAAGATCTTAGAGGTGAATATACTCTCTTATTTTTTCAAAAAAGAAAAAAAGGAATGCTGGAAATTGACAGAAAGTATCTTCAAAAAAGTTTAAACTTAAGGGGGACAAAGAATAAAACAATCAAGTGTTGGGGTTATCAACTCTAAAGAACAATTCAAATTACATTTTAGAACAGATTTACATAAACAGCTAATAAAATTGCCAGCCACTCTGACTGCCACTCACTTTCCCTAACAGTACTACGAAACACTAATTTTTAAAAAGGTATGAAATGTGACTTTATCATCCAAACACGCATTTAGACAACCTTTATTGTATATGCTGCTTTATCTGGGTAGACATTTGGCAACATAGATATATAGATATATCTATATATCTATGTTGCCAAATATATAAATATATAGGAAAGCTTTTGGCAGTCAAGATACCACCATATGCTTGACAATACAATATACACAACAAAGCACTGACATTTCTGAAAAGTTAATAGTTAGCTCAACTGCACTTTGTCATTTAGTTACCTGTCCCACTGTGGCCGTATTTCTTGCATCTTCTGACACACTAATGGATTTGCCCTGCTCATTCCATACGTGACGAATAACTTGAACTGCATGTTTTGGCAGCGTGCTGACTGCATTGCCCAAGGTGGCGACGAGTTCTTCCGCAGAGAGATTGTTTCTGGCTGCTGTGCTATAGGTATATCCAAAGAACACAGCATCTATTTCATTCTCCATGAATTTAATAAAATTTCTCACTTCACCCCAAATAGGCAATTTTTTATTTCTGCTTTACATGTCTATGCACTTTACAATAATTAGGTAGCCTGTGATATTTTTTTCAGAATATTTTACCGATCTTTTGTATCCATATGCAAAAAACAACGTGACTTGACTTTTAATGTGCCTTAATATGCAGAGACCAAGCTTTGCTGCGCTTGCACAACACGGAACATTGAAACAAAAATAATCACAGCTTTCAAGTGCTGTTGCAACTGAAAAAAAGGCATAATTCAGTGAAAGATGTGTGCATAGAGCAGTTAAACAATACTATTACCTTAGAAACAAGGCAGTTTAATTAAACATTTAGGAAAGGTAATTTAAGTATCACCAAAAGGCAAGTAAAGACTTCTAGGTAGTAGTATAATTGGTACTAACGAGAGTCAAATGATGCAATAAACCCTCAACTGAAAAAGCAGCAAGCCTAGAGGAAAATTGCCACTTGATTTCCTCTACAGAAACAGATAAAAAAAATTCCCCCCCTAGGTTTATTCATGCAGATCCACTCCTCTTAAAGAGACATTAATAAAAGAAAAAAGAGTTGCTCCTCCAAGTAGCATGGTCTAATATAATTTAAGGCTTTATATTTTATAGAGGAAAAAGTTTAAATTTCTAATGGTGTATTTTCTTCAGTCATATTAATGTTACATAAAATGTTCAGATACTGGATATTAGAAGAACAAGCAAGATCTTGAAAAGGTCATCTTTCTGAAAATAGAAAAACTTACAGCAAAACAACAGCTGAAAATACTACCTAAACTCTACCTTTATCATGGCAGAGTTCAACATCATAAAACCATGTGCCCTTCAAACAGGCACAAATGCTGGTTTCTAATCTCTAAGAAACAAGAAGTTTTTAGAACACACTTCTTCCAGGCAAACGCCTAGCTGACTTAGCTTTATAATGAGCTTAACTTCCTGTTTTATCTTGCCAGTAGTTCTAAAGCTTGCAGACAGGGTCTTAAAAAAGACTAAAGAGGGAATTGTTCTATTACAAAAAGTGAGACTATATATTAAGTAGCTACACATTTTTTAAGAACATAAACTAAGCCCCGAAGTTCTTTTTTGTGTACTGGGAGTTACAAACTTTCGCCCTTTTTTCAAATCCGTTTATTTTATACTGACATTCAATAACACTTTTTAATACCACTATTAAGTTGGCATGGAGGGGAAAAAAAAAAAAGACATGAGGCACGGTAAATTATTTTGTGCTTACCTAAATAGAAAGGAAACAATGTTAGTTATTTGTGCCAGGTCACCAACATTGATCTCGATCCCAGATGTTTGAATTCTCTAGAAACAGAATATTGAAACAATTACAAATAATAGCAAATTATGCACTAACAAAAATCTCTTTGTATATATACACACACAAAAAAATTGACTTGGGCAATCTGTCCTTTACAGCATATACAGCTAATATACTTGCTTATAAGTACTCGTATCCAAACTTACCTGACACAGTTCAGCTGTGTTTACACCTGGGATCTTATGGTTCAGATGCTGAATTATTTGTTCACACTGTAAAGAAAGTAAGTTTGCAAACATGCTTAATGCATATTTTAATACACAAGACAAAGCTAGTTTGAATGCTTGGAGATTACAAAACAAAAAAGAAAACTGGTTAATGCAAAAATGGACAACATGAGGATGCTTTAAATGCAGAGTGAAAAATAAAGTAATTTCAATGACTGATTTTAAGATTATATCAAAGCCAAGAAAAGCAAATAAATTCAGTCAAGACTTTCAGTTGCTACCTCACTAGCTATTCCTACTTAACACACCATTTTCATACTAATTGAACAGACATCCTGTTTAAGTGCACACTACAGTAAACAAGCTGAATGTTTTCTAGACAAGCTAGCTTACTATCTCATTTAGATGAAAGGCAAAACTCCATTTTTAAAAATCTTCTGTGATACAAACATAACTTGAAAGCAATCCCATTACTCTTAGCAGGACTGGTCCATTTTATGAGTCATGTAAATCTAAGCTACCACATACATAATATTCCCTTTGCAACAGACAAAAAACAGAAAAGCATAAACGAAAAGGTTTCATAGAATCGAAGAGTGCCAGAAGCCCTTCCACATCCCATTTATTGCCCTGCTTACCAGTTCTGCAAAAAAGTCTTGAGGTATTAAATGAATCTTATCTGCGGCACCACCCGCATCTAAAAACACAAACAGTAGTGATCAGAAACAAATCCTTAAAGTGTTATAGTAATAAATCTAATCTCTCTCTGAAGAATTCCTAGGTCATCATGCACGCATCTACCTCAAAAGCAAAGCTTTCTTTGAGGGAGTTTGTCCTGAATTGCATTAACATAACCTGCTCAGCATCCCAAGTCAAGCCTAGTATGAGCAACTCCATAAGGCCTCAGAGCCCCAGACGGGGTCCATGCAATTGCACAGTCTGACAGCCCGGAACAACTCCCCCGACCCCGTGGAGCAGTACCCGCACCAAGACCCTCAGCTTACCGGCAAGCCGGGCATGCCCAGGGCTGCCCTCGGGCACCAGCAGCACAGGACCGCTGCTCTCCCTAAGGCTCCGCCGCTACACCCAGGCCGCCTCCCGGCGGCGAAGCCCGCAAGCGACCCGCGGACAGCCAGGGAAAGGCCTCTCTGGCCTACCACAAGCCTTCTCCAGGACCCAGCGGGAGCGCCTCGCCCGGGCCCTGGGTGAGGTGGCTCCGCGGGCGGCCCCCCGGCTAAGCCCTCAGGAGAAGGGGAGCGCCCGCTCCCCTCCACACCCCACCCTGAGGGGCCCGGGGGGGCCCAGCTCCCCCTCAGCTCCCCTCCGCCCCCACGGCGGGGTCCCCTCACCACGCCCTCACCCAGCGCCTCCAGCGCCCGGGCGAGCACCACCGCAGAACCGGCAGCCATGGCTCCGCGCTCCCGCCGAGCCCCCGCCCCCCCGCCGAGGCCCGACTTCCGCCACACAACCCTCGCCGCCCTGATTGGCTCCGGGCGATGCCAGAGCGAGGCAGGGCCAGCGGCCTCGCCCTTATTGGCTGCCGGGCAGGGAGCATGCGCTGCTCTCCCCTGGGGGAGGGCGGGGCTGCGGCCTGCGGCCGGGTTATCCCGCCTCGGCGCTGGGCGGGTGTCAGTCCCGCCCGCTGCGGGTGGGGGTTCGTCCTCCTTGAAGTAAATCTCTTGTTACATAGATGCGAGTAAAATCAGGGCTGCTTTTATAAGAGACTGTCGGGTCTGCAGGCAGCGGGTGGAAAAGGCCACCCGCGGATGGCGGCTTGCAGGCCAGGGCCTCCCCGTGCCTCGCCTGGGGCCGGCCGTGCCCGCCCGCTGCAGGGCCCTGCGCCGCTGCTTGCGCTAGCGGTGGCGTGGGATATCGGCCCGGCCTGAGGAGCGTCTGGGGAGGCGTTTGGGAACGCCGGTTCAAGTCACACCTGGTTTGCGCAACAAGTTGTTTACTCGGTTTGGTGTATTAGCTGGCGTCGGGGTTTTCTTGGCGCTCTGTTACTGTCTCAGGTACAGCAATCACGCGCTACGGAACTTCATACACAGAGCGAGTGTACTTTGTACAGGCGCGTGGTGGCATCGGCCCGTACACCTGCAAATAAACTGTGCAGTTCATGGGTGGTTTGTGTAGATAAACTATGTCTTCAGTTTAACCGTTTATTGTAAAACTACAGCTAGAACCATGTTCAATAAGCTTTGCATGCTGAACTTAACTGAAGTAAGTTTGGGGTGTGGCTGAAGCCCTAAAACAACACTGATCCTTCACCAGTTTCACCTTTGCTTTTAGCTTTTTTCCTATATTGTACTGCTACAATCTCAGTAGATTTATTGTAGGACTGTGACAGAGTAGTAAAGCACAACTTGTCACGCAGTAGTGCTTGCTAGTTTAAAATTACGTATTTTCAATAAATGCTAATGAAATAATTTAGAAGATATTTCAGGAAAAAAGTAATTATGATGGAACATGGTGTGTGTTTATGAGCTTTATACGTTTATGATCTGTCTGATCTTGGCCTCTCCCTTTTAAAGTATCTAATTAAGTGTGCAAATGTTTTTGAGTAGTATGTGTTTTTATGACCTCATGATTGTCAGAACACTAGCAAGGTACGTACTGGTAAGATCTGTCTGTGATAGCAAGGACTTAACAATCTCTTTGTTCTTAACTTGGGTAACTTTTACATACTCTGTTACTTAGAGAACTTCACATGTTATTTTATATTACAATTTCATCAAGTGTCTTAGTAGTGCCTTTAGCACTATGACTAATGTTCTTTCTCCAAGATGTGGAGATAGATGTGACGTTGAGTATCTTGGTGGTTTGGTAATTATGGAATCATTTGCTGAAATTTGGAGTTACTTACGGGTTATTTTCATCAACATGTAAACCTGTGTTTAGTTCTTTGGATTTGGAACAGAAGGTGGTGAAGTATGGAACGATTTCGGCTTGCCTGCCCATCCACAGAATTAAGCTGTGTATCTTTAGAAAATTCTGCCTTCTGTAGATGTGCTCTATGAAGCTTTTCGTGGCAGGGGAAGGTACATGCGGACCATGATGGTGATCTGACAGTACAGGTCCATATTTTAGCTAGATAAGGACTGAGAACTTAATAGGAGGAGACACTTGGTGTAGAAACTAGAAGACAGATCTCATGAGCTACAAGTAGACTGGATTGCTGAAGAGATAAGCTATGGTATTGTTGATAGGTCAATGCAGAAGCTTCAACATAGGCATGTAGGATCACCATAGTCCTGCTTAAGTGATTACAGGGGGTAAAATACAATAAAAACATCATCAGGTAATTTACTCTATTTGATAAACTTCACATTTACAGAATGGGGCGCAATTTGCACTGACACTCTCTAAAGATCCACACCAGTTCTTCAAACAGCTCTTCGGGCAGACAGGAGAAAATATACCTGTTAATCAGGTTTTTCCAGTGCCTGGGCCCTCGACCCTGTGGTATCCCTACCGCCCTACCTTTGCTGCTGCCGGGCACTTTGGTACTCTCGTCTCTACAATACCTAGAAAATCCATTTGCTCATATTTTACTGTTCCCTTCTCTCATCGGACTCTGATTTGCCCGTAAACTGGCACAGTTTTTATCTTTCCTGCAGCCTCTCTGCTCACCCTGGATGCAGGTGCGTGCTCGACCACCAGCTTCCTGCTGCCCCAGGTCTTTCTGCTCGCGTGCTGGGCGGGCCTGCAGGTCCAGCTCACGGACTTCTACATACATCTCGTCCAAACGTCCTCTTCCCAAAATGCGAGGCGCCGTGCGAGTGCTGCGAGGGGCCACGTAGGCCCGCTGCAGGCTGTAGAGAGCGGTGGGCAGAAGCAGTTGGGGAGGGCTGGGGCCAAAAAATGGTGCGTTCCTTCATTTTTAGCTTTTCTGAATTAACTTGAAAGAAGGCATAACGCTAAATCCGATATATATGTATATATATAAAACGTATATTGCGCTGTATAGGATGTGTATATATTGCACTGTGCTTTATCTTGGCCAAAAGGCCCAGAAGCGGTACCTTTATGCTCCTGAGATGGGAAGGCCTGAGGGGGTTCCCAGCGTTGGAAGAGAAATGCTATTTTTACTTGGCTTTAATGCGGCCCGTACGGGGACCTCGCTGCCCGCGCCCCCGCCGCTGCACACGCTGAAGTCCTCTGAGGCGCCGAAAAGACCGCTCCGTCCCAGCCCCTTCGTCCCCGCTCGCCCCGTGGCCTGACCCGTTCCCACCGGCGGCTGCTGCTGGAGGCCCTTTCCGAGGGGCCCGGCTGGTCAAACGCTTGACGCCTGCTTCCCACCCACCCCCGCTCCGCGCCGGGGCCGGGAGTCGCCCCCCCGGAGGTCGCCCCCCGGAGGCCCCCGCGCACCGGGCAGGCCCCGACGGTTGGGAGCAAGCGCGGGGCGGGGCGGGCGGG